AATTTAAGTTTAAAAAAAAAAACTACTAAGTTGAAACAAGCTATATGAAGCTCAAATACTCCATTTTGGTCGAATCAAGTATGAATGCAGAACACATTTTTGAAATTTATATTAAAAGTTGATATGGTAAATCTCTTATATAAAAAGAAAAATATAGAAATAATCTTATAAAGAGAGGCACAACTAGATATAGCAGAAGGACTCCACATAGAGAGCAATCCACGGCCTAAATCAAGTCGAGTTAAGCTGGCCTAATTTGAGGCGTGTGTTGCATAGTGTAGTTGCACTGCGCTTACAATTATGCCAACCCATCCTCTCTGCATAACATTAACAAAAGAAAAAATCAGATTTATAAATTAATCAGTCAATTCTAATCTTGATTATTCAACTCAACCGTCAGTCAACTAGGGAGTTAAAAGCAAAGAAAATGAAAAGGAAAGAGAGAATAAATTTTCGACCATTATTTTGATTTTCTTTTGGTCTCTTTCTCTTTGTTAAAATTTATCGTTTGTTTGTAGAACGGGTGAAATAGGTTTGAAGGAAACGTCGCTCCCGGAAATGGCTCAACCCATCCAAAGCTCTATTGGATTTGCAGGTTCTTTCGCTGGCAAAATGTAACCCAATAGAGAGCCAAGGTTTGCAGGCTCCCAAAATATAACCCAAGGTTTTGGACTCTTAAAACCCCTTCACCTCCTTTCAGCCAAGTCATCCTTCCCAAAGCAAAAGCAAACGCACCACAACTGAGGGAGGAGGGTTAGAGATGCATCTCAAGAACCTCATTTGCAGGCAAACATTCAACAATATATCAAAATTCAATCGCAGAAAAGTTTCGTCTTTACCGCGACCATTGTTTAATTCCAGAAATGCCAACTTCAGTACTTCTTCTTCCCTCGCCTACCGATCAAATAATTCAACAAGAGCTGAAGTCGATAACTTTGTTCAGCCCAGTTGGATTTTCAATAGATGTATCAGCACTTCTCAAGGAGCCCTTTTGAGGGATTCCTCTTCTAAAGACGATGAATTAGAGGAAGATGAGGCTACGAATGAGTTCTTGTCAAGATTTGTTTGGATAATGCGGGGGAAGCTCTCTGAAGCTTATCCGGAAAGTGACAGGAAGACAATCGATGCGATGCTTTTGATTATTGTTGAGAAAGTTGTATCAGAAATGGAAAAAGGTGGTGTTGAAGGAATGACTGGGACAGCTGCGGCCACCCCTTCTGAAGATTTTAGTGAAGATTTGTGGAGAACTGTTTGGGAGGTTAGTCAAGTGGTTTTGGAAGATATGCAGAAAGCCCAGAAGAAGGAAAAGATGAAGAAATTTTTGCAGTCTGACGATGTGAAAGAAATGTGTAGGTTTGCAGGGGAAATTGGGATCAGAGGAGATATGCTTAGGGAGCTTAGGTTCAAATGGGCTCGCGAGAAAATGGAGCAAACTGAGTTTTACGAGGGTTTGGAAAAGTTAAAGGAGGAGGCTAAAGAAGGTCGAGAAGAAGTAAAATCAGAAAGCAGGGCTACTGAGGAAGACGGGGTTTTTCTTGGTGCTGGCTCAGATGATAGTGTGAATGAGGAGGTGCCTAATGTTGTAACACTTCCAAGAGACATGGGAAGTTGAAGTACAAGATTTATGGTCTTGATTTATCAGATTCTAAGTGGGCTGAAGTGGCTGATAAAATTCATCGAACTGAGGAAGTTATTTTGCCTCAAGAACCACAGCCAATATCTGGGAAATGCAAAATTCTTACAGACAAAATTCTTTCTCTGCAAATCGAAGATGATCCATCTCAGCTTTTAGCTGAATGGGTGGAGCTGCTTCAGCCTGGCAGGATTGACTGGATTACTTTGCTTGACAAATTGAAGGAAAGAAGTACAGGCTTGTACTTGAAGGTTTGGTCATACTTTTTTCCTTCAACGTATAACAATTCATTATGAGGTTCTTGATTTGTCATCATAGTTTAGTCTTGCTTTGTCTTCTTATTAAGGACTTTTTCATATTCTGACCGTTATGAACTAGAATTTCTTCAAGGATAATACCTACAAAATAATTTTGACCAACATCCTGGTTCATTATATATGACTATAGGGACAGCACGGTACTAATTATTCTACGGTGTTTCACTAACCTTATTGACCTCTTAATCTTTTCTCTAGATCAAGGGAGTTTTGACCAACATCCTGGTTCATTATATATGACTATAGGGACAGCACGGTACTAATTATTCTATGATGTTTCACTAACCTTATTGACCTCTTAATCTTTTCTCTGAGCTGGAAATGAACTTCAGTTTACTAGATTTTCAACTTTTGGCGATGTTGGTTAGGTACTTAGCACAATAGTTTAATTGGAGTCATGGTATATGGGGATATAAGTCTCTTACAGCTATTGTGGGAACGAGCAGTTCTGCATAGGGAGACACTCTTCTGAGCTACCTGATCCTTTCTGTTCCCTAATATATGGAATTCAATCCTAACCATAGGATGGAAACTTTATCTCACATTTTCAGAGTCTTGTAAATGACCTTCTAGTGCTTTAGGACAGAAAATATCACAGCCCAATATTATAATAAGATGAAAGAATGCATTTCCTTGACATGGAGTTGGTGTTTGAATTTGTCTTATCACAAGTCGTGCTGCTACAAAATCAGGACATTATTTTGTTCAGCTGATTTATGAAACTCGTGCTTTGATGTGGGAGTAAAACTGAGGCATAGTCGTCTTCTTTATTATGCTGTCATGGTTGGTTATATGGTGTTTGCTGATACATTACTGCTTCAGATTGCAGAGCTTATACTTGGTGAAGAGTCCTTCCAAGCAAACATACGTGACTACTCAAAACTGGTTGATGCCCATGCTTGTGAAAATCGCTCAGAAGATGTTGAGAGAATACTTAAGAAGATGAATGAAAATGGAATTTCACCTGACGTTCTGACATTAACAACTTTGGTCCACATGTACACTAAGGCAGGCAACCTTGACCTGCCAAAGAGACATTTGAAAGCTTGAAGCATCAAGGATTACACCCAGACATGAGGGTATGCAACTCAATGATCACGTCCTACATCAATGCTGGCCTACCAAAGTCAGGGGAGTCATTAATGAGAGATCTGGAGAAATGGGATATCAAACCAACTGAGGAAATATATATGGCGTTACTTAAATCATTTTCTCAGCTTGGTGACGTTAATGGTGCTGTGAGAATTGCTTCCAGTATGCATTTTGCTGGGATCCAGCCTAATTTGGAGTCTTGTACATTGGTTATTGAAGCATATGCAAAAACTGGTGACCTTAATAAAGCGAGGCAAAATTTTGATAACATTATTAAACTCGGACTTAAGCCAGATGATAGGTGCACCGCTAGCATGATTGCTGCTTATGCGAGGAAGAATTTATTGGATAAAGCTTTGCATCTTCTGTTGCAGCTGGAAAAGGACGGCTTTGAGCCTGGGGTTGCTACTTACTCTGTTTTCGTGGATTGGTTAGGTAAATTGCAAATGGTTGATGAAGCCGAACAATTATTGAATAAGATAGCCGAGCTGGGCGAGGCTCCTCCTTTTAATGTTCACATCAGCCTTTGTGAGATGTATTCGAGGGCTGGGATTGAGAAGAAGGCTCTTCAGGCTTTAGGAGTCATGGAGGCTAAGAAGGATCAGTTAGGGAAAGAAGGGTTTACGAGGATTATACAAGGGCTCAATGATGGAGGATTTGTTGAAGATGCTAAAAGGATGCTTGCGTTGATGAAAGCTGAAGGAATTTCAGTTCCTGAATCACTCCAAATATCGATGATGTCATCAACCATAGGCCTCAAGACGCAAGGAAAGAGATAGCAAATTTTCAGATACTCATGTTTTGTTTGCAGTTTGCACGTGGTCAATTATGATAGTGCTGAACGCTTTTGCTGATTCTCGGAATCTAGTCAAGATGTCTTTTGTCGTTGTAATTCCTCCAGCATGTTCTTTTATATCTGGCATTCTAGGTAATGCCAAGGTATGGTCCTCCAAATGATTTTAATGCAGAATCCTACTGTTCATTATCTCGGCTACTGTTTGGAATTGTGCTGCAGGCGTCCTTAACCTCACTTGTATCATTGGTGTATACTTTGTAGTTTTTTCTGCTGTTTTTTTTTTTAATAGTATAACATCTTTGAAAAGGCATCAGACTAGTTTTTTTCACACGTTATACTTTGAAAAGGCATGTCTACCGTCTGTGGTACAAGTCTCGTTCCTATCAAGAAAGGACTGTCAATAGGGCTGGGCCAGCCCGAGCTCGGCTCGTTCGGCTCGACAGAAAGCCCGATGAGCCCGATCATTTAGTGAGCCGGTCTGAGATTGAGCCTAAAAATTAGGCCCGAATTAAATGTGAGCCGAGCTTGGGCCTTATTAGGCTCAAATCCGATATAGGCCCGACCCTTTAATTACCTATATATATAATATTTATATTTTGATATTATGTATATTTATATATCCAAATATATTTTTACTAAATACTAAATATATATATAAATTACAAAACACAAAAATACATCTAAAGATTCTTTCATGAGATTTCTTGAGAGCCAATATTAGTAATGCATAACTAAATCTCTAATTTTTCTTATTGGTTGAGTAAATTTTTGTATTGGCATATTATTGGTTGATTTTTTTTGGTCTACAAACACAAAAATCATCAAGCATATTTGGATTTAAATCACAAGATTATAAAAAAAAGTTTCAACTTTTAAAGATGTATTGGCTTTTGATCGCATGTTTTATTACTATTTTTCATGCATTTTAAATGGATTAAATATAAATATTGTTGAATAAATTTTTGGTTTATATACTTTTTAAGAACTATTATTTGTTCATGTTTAGTTTTAATATTATAGTCTTGTAAATGTTAACTTAGTTTTACAACTTAATAGTTATAGTAATTATATTAAGAAAATTAAGGAGTAATAAGTGAGCTTGGGCTAAACCCGATTAAGGCTCACAACCCGAATATTATATGAGCTGAGTATGAGCTTCACATTTACGAATCCGAAACTCATAGCCCGAAGCCCGAAAATGTTTCAAATTAAATGAGCTGAACTTGAACTCATCAAAGCCCGGCTCATTAGGCCCGATTGACAGGCCTTTAGAAAGGTTCAGGCAGATATGAGAGTAGCAAGCCATCTATTGTAATTTGTAACGGTCAAGGGATTTGCAAACGACGAGAAATCATCACTACAGGTCATTGTAGTGACTATCAAATTACACAAACATGAAGATTATCTTCTTATTTTCTCTGCCATTGTTGATCTTTGGTCCACGATTGAGATAAACCGACGATAAAATTAGCCATTGGAAGTCCCTGCTGATTTCAGGAGTCCCTGCTGCTTGCTTCACCTGTACACAATGGCTAATAGTATTCACCCCTAATGAATTCATTCAGCCGCTTCATATCTCCACTTTGCTGCTCCACCACTGCTCGAACAACATCTACAATGGATATCATTCCCGCGATCTTTCCATCTATGACAGGGACATGTCGTATGTGGTTTTCTGGAACGCATCAAAACTGTTATCCATAAATTTTTTGCAGTCTGGGAAAAGCATGCAGGAATGCTGCTAGTGTGGAATGATTTTTGTTTTCTGAATCATTCTTCAAGCATTAAGGAGATATTATATTTTAGTATCATTTGATGTGTTACATGCATATAACTGAATCAATCAGTAGAATAGTTACCGGTCATGAGTTGCATCGCGTGGAGGATGTTTGTATCAGACGTCACTGTTACTAAATTATCCTGTTGAAAGGATGGAGATTTTCGACCACATATGGAAAAGAAATGGTTAAAGGTATCTAGAAGATTTTAGTATTGAGGACAAGGAAGCATTCACCTGATCAGTCATGATCTCCCCGACTCTTGTGTATTTAGATGACCTATCCTGCACAACTACCTTTCGCAAGTAATCTGTTTGCCATTTACTTCCACATTAGCAGATGTATTACTTGCAAGAAATTTGTAATACTAGTCAGCAAAGATTCCATTACCCCTCTCCGTAAGAATGCCAGCGATGAGTTGTTGCTGTCCTGGTTTGAGAACCACCAAAGATCCAATATTATTTTGTGCCATCTGCAAGATTATTGCTTTTCTCTGTTAATAATCACTTAATTTACCATTACGAGTATAGAAATAGATTATTTATGCGCAATGATGCTTCAGTTTTGGCGGAACAGACTTGCTTCACAGCATCATATACTGTGTCGTCGGCGCGACAGCTGAGCCAAGATCCAGCCTTTTCGCCTCCCTTTGTCATTAGTACTTCTGCTACTGTTACATTCTCCAACCCTTTGTGTTGCATGGGTGAAGACTCCTCCGCTGGCCTTGTGCCCTCTTCAACTGTCAGATAAGAGCTGATGGAACCAAGTCGCAAGAGATTGTTTTTCATTGCAGTTGAACTCCTCAAAAGTGAATGCCCTAATAGCTTTTCTTGGTAAGATCTAATGGCTTGTAGGAAACCTTGCATGTTGATTCTGCCACAAAAAGAGTTCATAGAATGCTAAGAAATGAGAGACGCTGCTGGAGTCTGGGGGTCTTTACTTCTTAGCAGCAGGGCACCCTGTGGGGTTAAGTTCCCACATCGCTTGGGGGGGTTTGGGGGGTTTAGTAGTTAAGTGCTGCGGAGCACTTCAAAAGTTGCCGGCTTTTGAAGTGTCTTCGCAGGGTCCATTTATCGAAACACTCATACAAAAAACTGTGAGTTATGAAAGGGAGAGACGCTGCTGGATATATTAATATTCTTGCTACTTATTGCAAGATGCTCTATAAACTTCAGTGGATGGGTGTATACAAATGATGATGAATGTGCAAATTTCATACGTTTTATCATAGGTGTGGCTGATGCAGGCATGCCAAGTCTAAGGCAAGCAACAAATAGAACATACCTTGTCGTGCAGGAGCAATCTGCATGAGCAACAAAGCTGGTCCTATTTGAGAATATGATGAAGCCGTTACATGGGTATGCCTCTTTGTTCTTTGCTTGAGCAACAAATGTTAAGGAAGGCTACGTTTGTTCAATTTTTGTTTTGACGCCCCATGCTACTTTGCTTCTTATTGTTGCCAAAGGTAAAAAGTCACCCCCTGTGTTTTCTGTCTCCTCTTTTGGTTTGATTGTTTCTTCTGTCCAAAATCTCCCTTTCTTTTTGTATCTTTTAAGCTTTACCTCATAGTTTAATAAAGAAAGGAATAGATCAATGTCTTTTTTTTTTTAAAAAAAAAAAAAAATTTCTTTATTCTTTTTAATAAATCAAGTATTAATAAACCTTGGCATACTATCAACACAAAAAGTCCCCACATGTTTCACATGTATGTGGCGCAAACTGTTGGGTTTGGGTTTGGCCAAGAACGAGAGAAGAATATGCTAATCTACTCTCTAGAGGAAGAGGAAAAACAAAAAAAACAGTGTAAGATCTCACCACAAAGTTGTAAAGACATGCCGTGATGAATTCCCAAGAGTGAGTTCATTGGCCTACTGAAAAAGATGCTAGCTGATCTGCCAAGGAAAATCAGTTTAAGGAAATCAGACAAGGCAGGCAAAGAAGGAAACAATGACAAGTAAGCAGACCAAATGTACTTACAAACTTTCCAAAGAATCATATGAGAAGCTATATATGTTGCATTTCGCTCCTTATGCCAGGCAACCAACTCTTAGGGCTCAAAATTCAGTTATTTACTTCATAGGTCACTCCTTTAAACCTCTATGGCAGACCAAAGACCAGCATTCGCGCTTTCGTCTTCCCTGGTTACCAGCTGCACCACCCCCACGTCCAACATTTCCCCCAGGCCACCGGCCCAGCCTACTCCTGCTACGACCCGTCCCAAACAATGCCACAAACAACTGCAACCCCAGCCCCTCCCCAGCCCTCCGTCACTGCCACCCCTCCCCCAACCATGCCACAAACAGCTGCAACAACCGAAGCCCCTCCCCAGCCCTCCGTCACCATCACCCCTCCCCCAACCACGCCACAAACAGCTGCAACAACTGAAGCCCCTCCCCAGCCCTCCATCTCTACCACCGCTCCCCTGCAATGCCTCAAACAGCTGAAACCCAAATCCCTTCCCAGCCGAGCACCACTACAACCCCTGCTCCCACTACTCAAACGGCTGAAAGAGCAACAGTTACCCAGCCTACGATAACTACAAGACCTACCCAGACACCCACTCCACAGGCACCTGAAAGGCCACCATACAGGCCTCCAGCCGTAGCCCCAGCACAGGGCCCTCATCTTCAATCTCAGACATCCAGAACTGAATCGCAGCCTTCATCACCATCTCCTGCCATCACTCAACCCAGAGTCCCTTCTCAGCCAGCGTCTCTGTCTCGTGTAGACACTCAATCGCGAGCTCCTTCCCAGCCCTCGGCTCCACCTCATGCAGCCCCTCAACAAGAAGCTGTATCTCTACCCTCATCTCCATCTCGCAGATCAACCGAGCTCCCATCAACACCCCAAACAGCCACACAGCCCAGGTCCCCTTCATTAGCCCCTATCCAGGCAGGCCAGACATCTCCACCTCCTCCTCCATCTAGCACAACTGCTCAACGGCAACCCACAACAGCAGCTGCCACCCAGCTTGCTTCTCCACTGAAAACAGAGCAAAGCCCAACTCAGAAGAACTCTCAATCTTCTGCCAGTTCCACTGAAGGTTTTCTCCCTCTGATAAACAAGAACCAAAATCAGCAGTATCCGAATCACTTCCTCTTGAATTTCAGCCAAAGACAGCAGTCCCTGCAGATAACATTCATGACTCTCAAGATCGAGCCCCAATTAAAACCATTGTTCAACCCAATGAGATGACACAGCGGCCTTTAAAAGAATCAGGGAAAATAGCAGCAGACGTGTTCACTACTACTAAAGGTCCAGAAACACCTGTTGTAACACAGAAATCAACTTCTTCGACTGTCAATGGTGAACCTGAATCATTCTCTAAAGATATGAAACCAGAGGAACCCAAAGAGGTGAAGGAAGTCATGCAAGACATTAAAGACAAGGCACATGACAGAGCCAGGCATATAGGAAGTGACCTTAAGGTGGAACAGGGGCAGACAGTGCAGACTAAAGACCTATCTACCATTCCATTTCAGTCAGAACAAGCACAGAAGACTATTGCCAGAAAGGAGATGACAGCAACATCTGCTTCTAATGGCAAAGAAAACAAAATACCAACCGCCCATCCAAGAAACAAAACCATGTTGGCTGACAGTCAACAGAAACAAAGTAACTCCAGTGGAGACCATAGGTCCCTGCACAAAGAGATCAGAGACGACATTTCAAAGCTTGTTAATAAGATGGCTATTGGGGATTCCAAGCACTCCATAGATGACAGGCCAGTGAGTGTAATCACTCTTGCTGGTGAAAATAGGGGAGCATCAATGCATGTAGGCTTTGACACATCAAAGAAAGAAGGGTCAATCCACATTCGCAGAGGCTATAAGATCAAACCTGATGACAGTACCGAAGCAACAACTGATGGAGAGGAGAGTTTCAACAGACAATCTGACAACTCAAATGCCAAAGAAGATCAAGCATCAGAGGCATATGTGAACAGCAATGCACAGGGTATCAACAACTCAATTTTATTCAACACATCCATAACGGAAGGAAATCCTGGTGTCCACCTGATTCACTCGCATTGTCCAACAGAATTAAAGAAGCTGTCTCAAAAACCAGAGCTCATTGAGACACGAAAGGCTGAATTCAACATGACCCCCTCCCAAAAACTTACTCAAGAGCCTACAGTCAGAAGAAGATGTCTCAGAGGCCTGTTTCTGGAGTCAAGTGATTCTGACTTGGATGCTGCGAAGCCTCGACGTCATGGTTGTCGTGTTGGCTGCAAGGAGAAGAGTAAAGAGAACAACATTGATGCTCACTGAGCAAGCAATATCCTGAACACCATACTAGCATGCTAATACATATGAAATAAATGTGCATACATCACATATTCACAACAAAATCCTCATAGTATCTGTGAAGACATTCTTTAAATCGAACAAAAGTAAATAGTAGTAAGGATGTCATAGGTTCCAGAATGATATGGTTTTACCTGCATTATGTTGTTGAATTCATTATAAACAAGGATATTCTGTGGTAGTAAAATTACATATAAATCTCCAATCCCAAAAGGACTCAGTTAAAGCTACTAGCCAATCTTTCCTTATCTAAAGTTAGATCCTACTTGCAACATTAAAAATGTAAGACTCCAATAACTTTGAAAACATTACAGACTTCTGGGAAATAAAATCACGATAACTTACACTTTTGAGGATCAGATACATTTGAAAACTGAACATAAATGTTTGGATTTTCACACATAATCATCCTATCTAAAGACGAAGCTCAAACAGGCTTCCTTTGGTATATTTACACACAAAAACTAACTTTGGAAAAAGCAAGATGGTACAACTACTCGCATGCTGGTTTAGTGTCAAAGCTGCTTAAACAGATTGCGAAGGCCTGGAAGGCAGAGAGGGGGTATCGATAGTCCATTGTAAAGATATCCTTTCCAATCTTTCCAAATTGTAGGATCACCTTATCTTGTTCTTCAACTGGAATAATCTCAGATGGATTCATGGCTGCCACCAGCTGAAAGTTCTTGACAGAGGCCACAGTAACACGCCCTTTGAAATTTAGGCACCAGCATTGCAATTGCTCATGCCATCTAGGCGCCTTGTTTCTCAAGACCAGTGGATTCTTAGTGCTCTGAATTGATTCTGGGGGCAGAGGGAGTTTAATGAAAGTTGATTCTTGAGTACTCCCTTTTACAAATGAACAAGAAGAGGATTCTCCATCCAGGCAATTCCTAAATGCTTCTGGAGCTGGAGTAGCACCCCCTTCTTGAAGTGTAGTTTTTTTTTTTAAAAAAAAAAAAAAAATTTCTTTATTCTTTTTAATAAATCAAGTATTAATAAACCTTGGCATACTATCAACACAAAAAGTCCCCACATGTTTCACATGTATGTGGCGCAAACTGTTGGGTTTGGGTTTGGCCAAGAACGAGAGAAGAATATGCTAATCTACTCTCTAGAGGAAGAGGAAAAACAAAAAAACAGTGTAAGATCTCACCACAAAGTTGTAAAGACATGCCGTGATGAATTCCCAAGAGTGAGTTCATTGGCCTACTGAAAAAGATGCTAGCTGATCTGCCAAGGAAAATCAGTTTAAGGAAATCAGACAAGGCAGGCAAAGAAGGAAACAATGACAAGTAAGCAGACCAAATGTACTTACAAACTTTCCAAAGAATCATATGAGAAGCTATATATGTTGCATTTCGCTCCTTATGCCAGGCAACCAACTCTTAGGGCTCAAAATTCAGTTATTTACTTCATAGGTCACTCCTTTAAACCTCTATGGCAGACCAAAGACCAGCATTCCGCTTTCGTCTTCCCTGGTTACCAGCTGCACCACCCCCACGTCCAACATTTCCCCCCAGGCCACCGGCCCAGCCTACTCCTGCTACGACCCCGTCCCAAACAATGCCACAAACAACTGCAACCCCAGCCCCTCCCCAGCCCTCCGTCACTGCCACCCCTCCCCCAACCATGCCACAAACAGCTGCAACAACCGAAGCCCCTCCCCAGCCCTCCGTCACCATCACCCCTCCCCCAACCACGCCACAAACAGCTGCAACAACTGAAGCCCCTCCCCAGCCCTCCATCTCTACCACCGCTCCCCCTGCAATGCCTCAAACAGCTGAAACCCAAATCCCTTCCCAGCCGAGCACCACTACAACCCCTGCTCCCACTACTCAAACGGCTGAAAGAGCAACAGTTACCCAGCCTACGATAACTACAAGACCTACCCAGACACCCACTCCACAGGCACCTGAAAGGCCACCATACAGGCCTCCAGCCGTAGCCCCAGCACAGGGCCCTCATCTTCAATCTCAGACATCCAGAACTGAATCGCAGCCTTCATCACCATCTCCTGCCATCACTCAACCCAGAGTCCCTTCTCAGCCAGCGTCTCTGTCTCGTGTAGACACTCAATCGCGAGCTCCTTCCCAGCCCTCGGCTCCACCTCATGCAGCCCCTCAACAAGAAGCTGTATCTCTACCCTCATCTCCATCTCGCAGATCAACCGAGCTCCCATCAACACCCCAAACAGCCACACAGCCCAGGTCCCCTTCATTAGCCCCTATCCAGGCAGGCCAGACATCTCCACCTCCTCCTCCATCTAGCACAACTGCTCAACGGCAACCCACAACAGCAGCTGCCACCCAGCTTGCTTCTCCACTGAAAACAGAGCAAAGCCCAACTCAGAAGAACTCTCAATCTTCTGCCAGTTCCACTGAAGGTTTTTCTCCCTCTGATAAACAAGAACCAAAATCAGCAGTATCCGAATCACTTCCTCTTGAATTTCAGCCAAAGACAGCAGTCCCTGCAGATAACATTCATGACTCTCAAGATCGAGCCCCAATTAAAACCATTGTTCAACCCAATGAGATGACACAGCGGCCTTTAAAAGAATCAGGGAAAATAGCAGCAGACGTGTTCACTACTACTAAAGGTCCAGAAACACCTGTTGTAACACAGAAATCAACTTCTTCGACTGTCAATGGTGAACCTGAATCATTCTCTAAAGATATGAAACCAGAGGAACCCAAAGAGGTGAAGGAAGTCATGCAAGACATTAAAGACAAGGCACATGACAGAGCCAGGCATATAGGAAGTGACCTTAAGGTGGAACAGGGGCAGACAGTGCAGACTAAAGACCTATCTACCATTCCATTTCAGTCAGAACAAGCACAGAAGACTATTGCCAGAAAGGAGATGACAGCAACATCTGCTTCTAATGGCAAAGAAAACAAAATACCAACCGCCCATCCAAGAAACAAAACCATGTTGGCTGACAGTCAACAGAAACAAAGTAACTCCAGTGGAGACCATAGGTCCCTGCACAAAGAGATCAGAGACGACATTTCAAAGCTTGTTAATAAGATGGCTATTGGGGATTCCAAGCACTCCATAGATGACAGGCCAGTGAGTGTAATCACTCTTGCTGGTGAAAATAGGGGAGCATCAATGCATGTAGGCTTTGACACATCAAAGAAAGAAGGGTCAATCCACATTCGCAGAGGCTATAAGATCAAACCTGATGACAGTACCGAAGCAACAACTGATGGAGAGGAGAGTTTCAACAGACAATCTGACAACTCAAATGCCAAAGAAGATCAAGCATCAGAGGCATATGTGAACAGCAATGCACAGGGTATCAACAACTCAATTTTATTCAACACATCCATAACGGAAGGAAATCCTGGTGTCCACCTGATTCACTCGCATTGTCCAACAGAATTAAAGAAGCTGTCTCAAAAACCAGAGCTCATTGAGACACGAAAGGCTGAATTCAACATGACCCCCTCCCAAAAACTTACTCAAGAGCCTACAGTCAGAAGAAGATGTCTCAGAGGCCTGTTTCTGGAGTCAAGTGATTCTGACTTGGATGCTGCGAAGCCTCGACGTCATGGTTGTCGTGTTGGCTGCAAGGAGAAGAGTAAAGAGAACAACATTGATGCTCACTGAGCAAGCAATATCCTGAACACCATACTAGCATGCTAATACATATGAAATAAATGTGCATACATCACATATTCACAACAAAATCCTCATAGTATCTGTGAAGACATTCTTTAAATCGAACAAAAGTAAATAGTAGTAAGGATGTCATAGGTTCCAGAATGATATGGTTTTACCTGCATTATGTTGTTGAATTCATTATAAACAAGGATATTCTGTGGTAGTAAAATTACATATAAATCTCCAATCCCAAAAGGACTCAGTTAAAGCTACTAGCCAATCTTTCCTTATCTAAAGTTAGATCCTACTTGCAACATTAAAAATGTAAGACTCCAATAACTTTGAAAACATTACAGACTTCTGGGAAATAAAATCACGATAACTTACACTTTTGAGGATCAGATACATTTGAAAACTGAACATAAATGTTTGGATTTTCACACATAATCATCCTATCTAAAGACGAAGCTCAAACAGGCTTCCTTTGGTATATTTACACACAAAAACTAACTTTGGAAAAAGCAAGATGGTACAACTACTCGCATGCTGGTTTAGTGTCAAAGCTGCTTAAACAGATTGCGAAGGCCTGGAAGGCAGAGAGGGGGTATCGATAGTCCATTGTAAAGATATCCTTTCCAATCTTTCCAAATTGTAGGATCACCTTATCTTGTTCTTCAACTGGAATAATCTCAGATGGATTCATGGCTGCCACCAGCTGAAAGTTCTTGACAGAGGCCACAGTAACACGCCCTTTGAAATTTAGGCACCAGCATTGCAATTGCTCATGCCATCTAGGCGCCTTGTTTCTCAAGACCAGTGGATTCTTAGTGCTCTGAATTGATTCTGGGGGCAGAGGGAGTTTAATGAAAGTTGATTCTTGAGTACTCCCTTTTACAAATGAACAAGAAGAGGATTCTCCATCCAGGCAATTCCTAAATGCTTCTGGAGCTGGAGTAGCACCCCCTTCTTGAAGTGTAGAGGCAGGAATTGAATGCATGGTGCAATGCATTCTTCTTGGCCCTCTTGTGCGAAGAACATTCAGCTCATAGCATATAGAAGCTGTACTGTAGTTTCCAAGAGGTAACCTTGGCAGGACCTTCTTTGAAGGGATCCTTACATGTGATTGGCCACTTGAAGAGACTGGAGAGTTGCATGCAGGATAAGAGTCGTACACAATAAACTTGGTGCCAAGGAAATTGGACCTATTAAAGGAAACTAATTAGTTGCATGAGAAAAATCAAGGATGACCCAGAAAAGAAAATTTTAAAAAACCAACCTCAACTTTCCAACGTAATAATCATTAGCTCGAGAATAATCATCAGCAGAATAGGATATCACAAAATCAGTCTTTGTGGCTCTTCTAATCTTTTTAGCCGCTAACAACAGTTTACTAGCATTTCCTGAAAGTGCTGTTATAACATCGAAATAACCAGCTCATGTAGTAAATAGATGGAGGCATGCTGTAAGTATCTGATTTATCAGTTCTAAGAAAAATAAATAAAGCCCAATAAAAATCGGGTTATGGATAAATCCTTCAAATGTGGAAGACAGTTAATTCCACAATAAAGCAAAAAGTAAGGAGGACAAATCATATAAAATTCCTTAAATTAAGAAGAATAATAGTAATTGTTAAGGCGAGGATAGCATCATTTACCAGGACTCAATCCAAGATACAAGCGAAATGTCGAAGTTCCTCTTTCTCTTCTGATAAAGCATTGGATTGGATAATCCCTTGGCCCAGGCTAATAGAAGTACAAAAGGTAGCACCCAGAAGAAAAAAGAAACTGTTAGTTATCCTTGCCCTTGGACATTCAGGATGGTACTTCAATCTTGCTATGTGCTAGAAACTAATACACCTGACAGACCTCCGAAGACAAATAAAAGAATTTTGATGCTGACGGATTACCTGCTTCAGTGACATGGGAAAGGTGAGCAAGCCACATTGCTCAGGGGTCCTAACAACTTCCTTAGTTACTTCTCTCCAGGACCGGCAAACAGCAGCACAAACAACCACATCCCTTCTGGCAGGCCATGAGGTCTCACTGGACTCAACTCTGCGAATGATATCAAAAAGCAACTCGATAGGCAAATTCGCCCACCGACTTTGTTGAACAACTGCAAATACGGATGGTTGTGGACTTTCAGGAGCTATATGTGATCTCCCGCAGCCTAGGACAGACTTCTTCTCCCCTTGCTTCCTCCAATTAGTCTCTCTGCCACTGCTTATTCCCCTAAGCTCTCTAAAAATGGACTTCAACGACATTCTCCAAACACTCTTATCTTTCTTCACACAAACAAATTTCACAAAATCCAATTCAAAATCAGTAAAAGTCAATCACGCATCCCAAAATTTATAACAAAAGCAGCAAGACATCACCAATCAGAAATAATGAAAAGAAAACCACGATTCTTTTGATGGTAGCTTTTTCAGCCTTTCTTTACCTGAAGATGAGTCTGAAAGTTCAGATTTTCAACGAACAGAATTTAGGGCCTGCACCAAATACCACATTCCACACTGCAACCTGCGAAAACAGCCAAGCGTAACACTCAAGTTCCAAGTTTTTTCCAGTTAACACCGTGACCAGTAGTGTTCATTAAACTCAGAAACCTAGCAACTTCTGCAAGCGTGCTTGTAAGATAAGAAACAGTGTACTTAAATCAAGAAAAGGAACTATTCAAACTTTAAAAAAAAATCCTTATTGCTTGCGAATCAAAAGGGTAGTTGATATAATGCCGTGCAAATAACAAATGGAATCACAAAATTTTCGCATCCCAGTTGTGATTGCCACTTCAAAATCCTTTCTTTTGCTCCAAAATTTTCTCAACAGCCCAACAAAACCAGTCATATTAGAAATCTTACTCAGTCAATGCAGAGACAGAACGAGATAAAGATCCAACTTTTTCACATTCAGACAATAATAATTAGCACATACCCTGACATAGTAAACTATACATTAAAAAGATAAGAAAACGCAGATGCCAAGGGCTTACTCTACTTAAAGATAAAACCCATTCACGTTTCGATGTCTCCCACACACAAAGCACAACCCAGCTTCTGATTTCTACGATACCCGTCGTCCCCGATGTTTGCAAAAAAGAATATACGTAAAGGAGAATATTATATAGTACTTCAAAGTAAATATTGAAGTATGACTATTTCTGGGAGAAAACAAAAGCCAACAACAAATTGGCAAATGCCAAACGAGTACTCTCTCGAAAGGGTGTGCTTATTATGTGAATTGTTTATACTTTATAGAAATCACATTTTTTTTTAGACTTGAGAGTAACCACCATCACCACAGCATACGGCGGAAAGAACCACCGCGAACCACTACCAAAAACGTCTTGTTAAAGGTCATTTGAGCATGGAGAGACGGATACGTGTTCTTCATGTAATCGTGGGATTGGCGGGGGCTGTGCTGGGTTTGTGGTTGGGTGGGGTGCGGGGTGGTGGTCGGCCTTTTTTACTAGGAACGTCCGTTAAATTAACGCTGGAGGGTGGGTTCGGTGAGGGAGTTTTATCACTTTTATGGGCTACGTGGAATTGGTTGGGTCTGGGGGTCGGGGCCCAGTACCATACATCTTGATTAGTTCGTCCTTTCGGGATTTGCACCCGCCACCTGCACCGTGGCCCCCCTGCATTAAGCACTGTAGATCGTATTCAATACTGCTTGATTATTTGGAGTGGTTGATTATGGATCAAAGGGATTTCACCGTGCCAAGCTTTAGTGGATCTCAATAGCTTAATTAATCCACACACTTTGTAGTAATCTAATCGAGCTAGAAGGGGTTTTAAACATTGAAGAACACAATATAAATATTTTTTTTTTCGTTTCAACTTAATACAAATCATTGGCAATGAGAAAATTTGATTGGAGAATTAAGTAGCTTAATTGACATTTCAATTACCTGCTTATAGATTTCAATTCCTTATAAATACACTTTTTGTCGTTGAGCAAATTCTTAATCAACATTTACTTATTAGTATTTAAAGCCAGGAACAAGAAATGGAATATCTAAAAGCATATATTCGACACTACTGTTTAAACGTAAAATCGATATCATCTTACAGTAATATTCACTCACTTAATAGTTAATTTTCTAGATTAGTGTTCACATAATGGTAGTATGGTTATAGTGCTAGCACTCACTACTCAATGTTGAAACTGTTTGATATGATTCAATCACACACTCTATTCTATATTAGAAATAAATAATATCTTTCAAACTCCAATTTGGAACATGAGTTGATCGACTGTCTTTGAGTGGAGTGAAGCTGAAAAGCACTAGTGAATTGGCCAAGTTTGTTTACCTTGCTGCCCTACCTGTATATGGAAAAGTTTTTTGTTTTAGGTTTTAAGTGTTTGGCAACGTAGGAGGAGCTGAGGAAAAGTTCATTGCATCGACATTATCAAAAAAATTTGCAATTACGTTTATGGTAATGCAACCAAAAACATACTTCTCGTGCATGCATCAAAATGTTTCTCTTTTGTTTTTCCTTCTTGCCCTCATAACCTCCTCCGTCTCCAATGAACTTCAATCCACTTTCACTCTTTTTTCCGCTGATAAAAAGCAAAAAAGATAGATAGCCTTTTTCGAGGATCACCATCTTCGATGTACTCTCAATTTTTTTTTTTTTTTTTGTCGATACAGGGGTGTCCGAATCAATCCTTACGGAGTCCGATTAATCCCCTACGGCCCGGACCCGGCGCTCCAACCAGACCTGAACACGTTAAGTGCGCGGAGAAATTCAGCGGAGCGGAGACTCGAACTTGTGACCTCAAGATTCACTGGCGAAAAGCGCTGCCGCTGGACCATTCACGCGGAGGCTCGACGTACTCTCAATTGAAAATGTCTTTTCTGTTTTTCAGCCCCTTTAATTACAAGTCTATACTTTTAGCAGTAAACGCCTAGGCCTAGCTAGCAACATATAGTTAAAATTTCCCTTCGCCTTAGAGACATATGTATGTATATATATATATATCTTCCCGTACAGAGTTAAAACCAGCTCAAGTCCCGGACAACGTTAACCAAACAAATTGCGGGCAGGTCTCTCCGGACAGGCGACTTTGTGCTGTGAGATACGCTGTCAATTTGAGTCGAAGGCGCACGTGCGTGCATCT